AGATGGCAACAGGAGTGTCCCTGGTAGCAATTCCCCCATTTTTTTCAAGTTTTCGTTTGGTAACCTCCAGTAGTAGTAATTTGTATTTCCCCAGACAGTATCCAGTTCAGTTCTTCGCTGTCAGTTTGCTGGGGTTGAAGACAACAACATTTTTTTTCACCATAACAAGACGATAGCTAAGAAATCTCTCTAAAAAATTAAAATTGATGTCAAAGCGCTATTATTAGTTTATAACCCAGTTAATGACGCAGTTGAAAATTAACGTATTGAAAGAGATTAATTCTTATGGCCCTAAACAATGAAATCAACAAATAGCCCGAAACTTACGACGACGTTTCGGTCCGACTTGGATCATTTACAAAGTCACACTAGTGTGACTTTGTAAATGATCCAAGTCGGACCAAAACGTCGTAAGGTTGTGTCTCTGCGGCGGATTATTATTCCTGTGTTGTTCCAGTCTCGGCTTTATGTTCTTTTGTTCTTTAATAAAATAAAAGTTTTGCGTCACCTTCACATGCATTATTATATTTGGCAGTCAGAGCTGGCCCCGTGGCCCAGTGGCCCCGTGGCCCCGTGGCCCCGTGGCCCCGTGGCCCCGTGGCCCCGTGGCCCCGTGGACCCGTGGCCCAGTGGCCCCGTGGCCCCGTGGGCCCCGTGGCCCCGTGGCCCCGTGGCCCCGTGGCCCAGTGGCCCCGTGGCCCCGTGGGCCCGTGCCCCGTGGCCCCGTGGCCCCGTGGCCAGTGGCCCCGTGGCCCAGTGGCCCCGCGGCCCCGTGGCACCACCGGGTGGTCAGCTTTCTTAAGCTTGTCTGTCCTTCTCTGTCGCACTTGTTAAAAATATCTTGCACAGATGTTTAAGTCTCCCTCTGACCTTAATTCAGGTGAAACAGATATTAGCTTCTTCATTTTTTTTTTTTTTGAGTATTGGAAATGCATTATGGGAGAGTTTCCTGGTAATGCTCTCTAGGAGTGCATCCTGGAAGTGCATCCTAAGAGTGTATCCTAGGAGTGCATCCTAGAAGTGCATCCTAGGAGTATATCCTAGGAGTGCATCCTGGAAGTGCATCCTAGGAGTATATCCTAGGAGTGCATCCTGGAAGTGCATCCTAGGAGTATATCCTAGGAGTGCATCCTGGAAGTGCATCCTAGGAGTATATCCTAGGAGTATATCCTTAGGTAGTAAAATATTTGGTGCAAAGAAAATAGTTTTGATTCATATCTTTATTTACTAAAATAAATTATTTTTTTATTGCATTGGCTATGAATATAAGTAATGACTCACGAGATCGTAATGACACGACTACAAACTCTCTCGCCACGAGTTCAATCACCACCCGTGGTATGGTATAATGTAAGTTAATATTTAAAAAAAATATTCATTTATATGAACTTGGCGAAAAATAAAATGCATTGTCACTTTATAAACAACTTTCCAAATTAAACTTGAAATACTAACCTAGAAAGAAACTATGAATCGATACACGCAACACACACACACACACACACACACACACACACACACACACACACACACACACACACACACACACACACACACACACACACACAGAGGCTTCTGAGTGAGCTAGATACCTCAAAGGCAATGGGGCCAGATAACATCTCCCCATGGGTATTGAGAGAGGGAGCAGAGGCGCTATGTGTACCCCTAACAACAATATTCAATACATCTATCGAAACAGGGAGATTGCCTGAGGCATGGAAGACAGCAAATGTAGTCCCAATCTTTAAAAAAAGGAGACAGACATGAAGCATTAAACTACAGACCAGTGTCACTGACATGTATAGTATGCAAAATCATGGAGAAGATTATCAGGAGAAGAGTGGTGGAACACCTAGAAAGGAATGATCTCATCAACAGCAGCCAGCATGGTTTCAGGACGGGAAATCCTGTGTCACAAACCTACTGGAGTTCTATGACATGGTGACAGCAGTAAGACAAGAGAGAGAGGGGTGGGTGGATTGCATTTTCTTGGACTGCAAGAAGGCGTTTGACACAGTTCCACACAAGAGATTGGTGCAAAAACTGGAGGACCAAGCAGGGATAACAGGGAAGGCACTACAATGGATCAGGGAATACTTGTCAGGAAGACAGCAGCGAGTCATGGTACGTGGCGAGGTGTCAGAGTGGGCACCTGTGACCAGCGGGGTCCCGCAGGGTCAGTCCTAGGACCAGTGCTGTTTCTGGTATTTGTGAACGACATGCCGGAAGGAATAGACTCTGAGGTGTCCCTGTTTGCAGATGACGTGAAGTTGATGAGAAGAATACACTCGATCGAAGACCAGGCAGAACTACAAAGGGATCTGGACAGGCTGCAGAACTGGTCCAGCAATTGGCTCCTGGAGTTCAATCCCACCAAGTGCAAAGTCATGAAGATTGGGGAAGGCAAAGAGGCCGCAGACGGAGTACAGTCTAGGGGTCAGAGACTACAAACCTCACTCAAGGAAAAAGATCTTGGGGTGAGTATAACACCAGGCACATCTCCTGAAGCGCACATCAACCAAATAACTGCTGCAGCATATGGGCGCCTAGCAAACCTCAGAACAGCATTCCGACATCTTAATAAGGAATCGTTCAGGACCCTGTACACCGTATACGTTAGGCCCATATTGGAGTATGCGGCACCAGTTTGGAACCCACACCTAGCCAAGCACGTAAAGAAACTAGAGAAAGTGCAAAGGTTTGCAACAAGACTAGTCCCAGAGCTAAGAGGTATGTCCTACGAGGAGAGGTTAAGGGAAATCAACCTGACGACACTGGAGGACAGGAGAGATAGGGGGGACATGATAACAACATACAAATACTGAGAGGAATTGACAAGGTGGACAAAGACAGGATGTTCCAGAGATTGGACACAGTAACAAGGGGACACAGTTGGAAGCTAAAGACACAGATGAATCACAGGGATGTTAGGAAGTATTTCTTCAGCCACAGAGTAGTCAGTAAGTGGAATAGTTTGGGAAGCGATGTAGTGGAGGCAGGATCCATACATAGCTTTAAGCAGAGGTATGATAAAGCTCACGGCTCAGGGAGAGTGACCTAGTAGCGATCAGTGAAGAGGCGGGGCCAGGAGCTCGGACTCGACCCCCGCAACCTCAACTAGGTGAGTACAACTAGGTGAGTACACACACACCTAATTTCATACAATTACTCGTGTGGTCTAAACAGTGTTTTTGAAGGGGAGGCTTAGATCAGGTTAGGTTAGGTCAGGTTTGCCAGGAAACAGAACAAGTGTTTCCTGACACGGTAGTGCATCACGACTTTTAGGCCATAAGCGTAAAGGACCAGCAGATACTGCAGATTGATGAGCGCTTAAGGAGCAGCAGACGCTATTCATCACTTTCCTGTCTCACATCGCTCTGTCCTGTGAAGAAAACCAGACGTGTAAACATTGAGACACGACTAAAATATATCAAAGAAAATAGCTTTGCGAATCTGATTAAAAATTATGAAAAAATATATAGTAAGAGAGAGAGAGAGAGAGAGAGAGAGAGAAGAAGAGAGAGAGAGAGAGGGGAGAGATAGAGAGAGAGAGAGAGAGAGAGATGAGAGAGAGAGAGAGAGAGAGAGAGAGAGAGAGAGAGAGAGAGAGAGAGAGAGAGAGAGAGAGAGAGAGAGAGAGAGAGCAAACACGTTACTTACTTGCTACGGGCACTGCCTTGTATCCGTTCCTGCCAAAGTGGTGGCTGCGGTAATTTGTCGAACCAAGACGTCTCTGGCCGGGGAAGTCTCTCTTTCCGGTGATGAGTTGTGGTGCTCCCAACACCATCCCCAACACCACCACCAACACCAACAACACCTGTAGTTGTTGAAGATAAATGCTCGTCTTAGAAAACCATCGCAGATTGCTGACACACATTTAAACTAGGGATGTGTTAACGTATCGGTGTTGGATTAACAACACCGGTGACAAAAACGTCCGATACTAGCCGATACTTTTAACTAAAATTGCATGTGCTAATATATAACAAAATTATACTATCTCATGACTGAGAGTTACTCTCTGTCTCTCTGTCTCTCTCTCTCTCTCTCTCTCTCTCTCCTCTCTCTCTCTCTCTCTCTCTCTGTCTCTCTCTCTCTCTCTCTCTCTCTCTCTCTCTCTGGGAAATTAAGTTATTAATATTTAACTTTCCTGTGTTATTTAATACCCATTGTGCAATAAGCATTCCCTTATATATTACACATAGTTTATAATAAAAAAATATATTGGAAAATTATCGGTATCAGTATCGGCCGAAAACTGGGTATCAGTACCGAAATTACAAAAATTTTGGTATCGTTCTATCACTAGTTAAACTAAATGTGATATTAACACACTAATATTAACACACTAATATTAACACACTAATATTAACACACTAATATTAACACACTAATATTAACACACTAATATTAACCACACTAAATATTAACACAACTAATATTTGCAAAATGAAAAAGGAAAATATACAAAATGCATTTCAGAAACAAAACTTTTTCCAAATTATTGAAAAATATATTTTCAGAATAGAGACAATTTGCTTACAATTTTAATGTTCATCTTTGTTCCTCGTTCAGATGAACGCGATGTAACCTGTTCAAGGAAAACATATTATAATTAGATATATTAAAAGATTGTAAGATATAAATGTTTTGTTAGAACTGATTAAGTGTTTTTGGAGGCAATGATCGGAAAATGAATAAAATATAATTATGTTATGAAGTGAAGATTATATTGTATGAAGAGTTAAACACGTGATTGCCATTAACCAGAAACAGTGGAGGCTTGATCCTCGGGGGTAAATAGTAAGCCGGGTAATCATCCTCGTTCTGTTCATTCAGGCTGTGCAAACTCGGTAGAATAACATACGAAGCCAACACAGAAAGTCTTAAAATGTGAATACGTACGCAAATGTGTCGACTATTATATCTCAGTGTGTTGAGTGAGACAATTACAGTTACCACAGCCGGTCAGTGTGTCAAGTTGCTGGTCAGCCTCTGCGTCTCCAGTATATATTGAGAGACTTTTCTGAGTTGCCAACTACTGCTTTATTTCATTTCTAATTATGTAACCTTCATACATGCTCACCCTCCTGAACACGTCTGAGAAAGGAGAAGAATCAGTCCACATCAGTATGCTGGACTTATAATAAACTTTCAGCTCAATATACCAGTCGACACTCGTATCTAGACTGAGTTAATTATATACTAAGTGTTTCTCTTCACTCTCAGCTTTAGTAAAATACTTTATTTATTAAATTAACAGGATATACCTATTGTGAAGGGTACCTAATTTAAGCTTGACTTGCCTTATGGGACGTTCTAACCACCATACAAAATATTTGGGAGGGCAGTCCCTGACTGAACTCCATTACATGCCTCTCCAGAAATCTTTTCTATCAACCGCAAAATGAGTATGATGTACATATTAAGACTATTAGACTAACTTAGGAAAACCAGCATTAAATCCAGCCAAACCAACGGAAAGATATTAAACTCTTGTTGGCATACCCGGTCTAACCATTATATAAATTATACGTCACAACACACACCTAACAAAACTGAAGGACACTATTTTACTTCCTCTTCCTGTCCCTTCTGTAATTTCTTTGAGGTTATGGTGTAGCTGGGTGTAAAATAGAGCATTAAGTAATTATTAGTTATCTTCCGTAACTTTGATTCTAAAAAAAAAAAAAAAAAAAAAAATAGAGCTTGATCCGAACACTAGTGTGAACCAAGTATGTGATCATGTATTTTTCGTCTATTTCAGGAAGCTTATTTAGGCGTTTTCTCCCTAACTCTACAGTTTCAGAATATTTTAAAATGATATTAAACAGTAAAGTTTGACCTGTTGTTGCAAGATACATATGAATCTCATAACCGTCCAGCAAGATTTTTATTAAATGATATAATGCTGTTGACTGGTGCAACAAGTTGAGGAGTGTGCAATGAAGAAAAGGAGTATAGAAGGTAAAAAACATTGTAATAGATGATGTGTTGCTCAGGACTGAGCTTTATCAAGTCCGAGAAACCTCAGTCATGGGCGAAAAGTTGAGTAAAATATTGGCTTTCTCTACATAGTTTGTCATTGTATTGTGTATAACGAGAGTTCCGGGATCTCCTCTTTGTCTGGTGACTCGTAAATATTTAAGCTCCTTTTCACTTATTCTTTACTATATTCGCAACACTTCATGTTATCTCACGTCTAGTTTTTAAGTTCGTACTGTATTTTTGTTGAGTTATTTTAGTTCTGTTCTTTTTTATACATTTTTTCTCTTCAAAACCTGTAAAGCAAAAAAGCGTGATCTTGATACAGACCGGTGAATCACAGGTCATTACAAGGATCACTGTAGAGGAGAAGTTCCTTATCCTGTCACCCGATGTTGTGTTGCTACACCCAGGTCTCACATGTTGTGTATGCTGTAGCGCCAGGCCTCACATGTTGTGTTAGTGTACCCAGGTCTCACATGTTGTGTTGCTGTACCCAGGCCTCACATGTTGTGTTGCTGTACCTAGGCCTCACATGTTGTGTTGCTGTACCCAGGCCTCACATGTTGTGTTGCTGTACCTAGGCCTCACATGTTGTGTTGCTGTACCCAGGCTCACATTTTTGTTGCTGTACCCAGTGCCTCACCAAGATGTTTTGCTGTACCTAGGCCTCACATGTTGTGTTGCTTGTACCTAGGCACACATGTTTGTTGCTGTACCCAGGCCCACAGTTGTGTTGCTGTACCAGGCCTCACATGTTGTGTTTGCTGTCCCAGGCCTCACATGTTGTGTTGCTGTACCCAGGCTCACATGTTGTGTATCGTACCCCCAGGCCTCACATGTTTGTTTGCTGTACCCAGGCCTCAACATTTGTGTTGCTGTACCCTAGGCCTCACATGTTGTTTGGCTGTACCTAGGCCTCACATTTGGTGTTGCTGTACCCCAGGCCCGACATGTTGTGTTTGCTGTACCCGGCCTCACATGTTGTGTTGCTTGTACTAGGCCTCACAGTTGCCGTTGCTGTACCAGGCCTCAAATGTTGTGGTTGCTGTACCTAGGGCCTAAAATGATGATGCTGTACCCAAGGCCTCACATTGTTTTGTAGCTGTACCTAGGCCTCACATGTTGTGTTGCTGTACCCAGGCCTCATATGATGTGTTGCTGTACCTAGGCCTCACATGTTGTGTTGCTGTACCCAGGCCTCACATGTTGTGTTGCTGTACCTAGGCCTCACATGATTTTTTGCTGTACCCAGGCCTCACATGTTGTGTTGCTGTACGTAGGCCTCACATGTTGTGTTGCTGTACCTAGGCCTCACATGTTGTGTTGCTGTAAAAAGGCCTCAAATGTTGTGTTGCTGTACCTAGGCCTCACATGTTGTGTTGCTGTACCCAGGCCTCACATGTTATGTTGCTTACCTAGCCTCACATGATGTGTTGGCTGTACCCAGGCCCTCACATGTTTGTGTTGCTGTACCTAGGCCTCACAATGTTGTGTTGCTGTACCCAGGCCTCCATACTGTGGTTTGCTGTACCTAGGCCTCACATGTTGTTTTGCTGTACCCAGGGCCTCACAAGTAGTGTTTGCTGTACCCAGGCCTCACATGTTGTGTTGCTGTACCCAGCCTCACATGTTTGTGTTGCGTAAACCAGGCCTCACATGTTGTGTTGCTTTACCTGGCATCACCATGTTGTTTGCTGTACCCCAGTGCCTCATCTGTTGTGTGTTGCTGTACCCAGCCTCACCATGTTTGTGTTGCTGTACCCAGGCCTCACAGGATGTGTTGCTGTAATCCCAGGCCACACATGTTGTGTTGCTGTACCCAGGCCTCACATTTGTTTGGCTGTACCCAGAGGCCTCACATGTTTGTGTTGGTGTACCCAGGCCTCACATGTTTGTGTGCTGTAGCCAGGCCTCACTGTTGTGTTGCTGTACGTTACTCTAGGCCTCACATGTAGTGTTGCCGTTCCCAGCCTCACATGTTTGTGTAGCTGTACCCCAGGCCGTCACATGTTGTGTTGCTGTACCCAGGCCTCACATGTTGTTGTTTGCTGAACCTAGGCCCTCCATGTTGTGTTGCTGTAACCGGGCCCAGCATGTTGTTGCTGACACCCAGGCCTCACATGTTGTGTTGCTGTACCCAGGCCTCACATGTTGTGTTGCTGTACCCAGGCCTCACATGTTGTGTTGCTGTACCTAGGCCTCACATGTTGTGTTGCTTAACCGTAGGCCTCACATGAATTTTTTGCTGATACCCAGTCCCACATGTTGTGATTGCTGTACGTAGGCCTCACATGTTTGTGTTGCTGTACCTAAGGCACACATGTTGTGTTGATCTGTAAAAAGCCTACAAATGTGGTGTTCTGGAACTAGGCCTCACAATGTTGAGTGTTTGCTGTACCCAGGCCTCACATTATGTTCTGTAACCTAGGCCTCACATGATGTGTGCTGCACCCCCGGCCTCACATGTTTTGTGTTGCGTACCTAGGCCTCACATGATGTGTTGCTGTACCCAGGCCTCACATCTGTGTTGCTGTTGCCTAGGCCTCACATGTTGTGTTCTTGCTGTACCCAGGAGTAGCCTCAAGACTTTGTGTTGGCCCCCCATGGTATCCCAGGCCTCTACATGTTGTGTTGCAGAACCCAGGCCTCACGATGTTGGATGTTGGCTGTACCAGGGCCTCACATGTTGGTTTGCGAGTGTGACCTAGGCCTCACATGTTGAGTTGCTGTACCTCAGTCAGGCCTCACATGTTGTGTTGGCAGTACCCAGGCCTCACATGTTGTTGTTGCTGTACCCAGGCCTCGAGCATGATGTGTTGCTGTACCCAGGCCTCACATGTTGTGTTGTCTGTAGGGGCCCAGGGCCCTCACATGTTGTGTTGCTGTACCCCAGGCCTCACATGTGTGTTTGGTGTACCCAGGCCTCACATGTATGTGTTGACTGTACCCAGGCCTCACAAAGTTGGGTTGCTGTACCTAGGCCTCACATGTTGTGTTGCTGATAACCAGGCTCTCTGTTGTGTTGCTGTACCTAGGGGGGACCTCACATGTTGTGTGCTGTACCCAGGCCTCACATGTTTGTGCTGCTGTTTACCAGGCCTCACATGTTGTGCTGCTGTACCCAGGGCCTCACTTGTTGTGTTGCTGTACTAGGCATCACATGTTGTGCTGCTTACCTAGGCCTCACATGTTGTGCTGCTGTACCAGGCCTCATCATGTTGTGCTGCTGTACCAGGCCTCACATGTTGTGTTTGCTGTTCCTAGCCTCACTTGTTGTGTTGCAGTACCCAAGGCCTCACATGTAGTTGCTGCTGCTGTACCCCAGGCCTCTATGTTGTGGCTTGCTGTACCCAGGCCTCACATGTTGGTTGCATACCCAGGCCTACATGTAGTGCTGCTGTACCCAGGCCTCACATGTTGTGCTGCTGTACCCTGGCCTCACATGTTGTGCTGCTGTACCCAGGCCTAACATGTGGTGTTGCTTGTACCCAGGCCCTAACTTGTGGTTGTGCTGTACCCAGGCCTCACATGGTTGTGTTGCTTTACCCAGGCCTACATGTTGTGTTGCTTTACCAGCCTCACATGTTGTGCTGCTGTACCCAGCCTACATATTGTGCTGCTGTACCCAGGCCTCACATGTTGTGCTGCTGTACCCAGTCCTCACATGTTGTGTTGCTGTACCCAGGCCTCACATGTTGTGCTGCTGTACCCAGGCCTCACATGTTGTGTTGCTGTACCTAGGCCTCACATGTTGTGCTGCTGTACCCAGCCCTCACATGTTGGCTGCATACCTAGGCCTCACATGTTGTGTTGCTTACCCAGGGCCTCACATGTTGTGTTGCGGGTACCCAGGACTCTAATGTTGTGTTGCTGTACCAGGCCTCTCAATGTTGTGTTGCTTGTACCCCAGGCCTCACATGTTGTGTGTGCTTTTACCTAGGCCTACAGTTGTTGTTTGGCTGTACCCAGGACCTCACCTGTTGGTGTGTTTGCTGTACTCAGGCCTCACTGT